AACAAAGGTCAAGCTTTTAAAACATTTTTCAACAAAGGTCAAGCTTTTAAAACACAGTTCATAATAATAATAATACATGTACTTTTAAATTCCAAGTGTGAATAAACCATGGACAATGTCCATTACCTTGTTTAGTGTTAAAAATAATAAACTAATTTTGACATGTGGCTATAAAATATTTAAAAATATAAGTATCCTGTTCACCCTCAAGATTATCTGAATATAAGTAAGCTTATTCATGATTCATAATGCCTTGTAAAGTATTGAAAATATTGTACACACAAATAGCAATTCAGGTAGATGGGCATATTATAGCAATACTCACATAAGGAATGGCTAAAGACAAAGTTCTTTAGAAAAATAAAAATGAAAAACACATTTACACAGATAGAGATGTGAATTTCATAGATAACCTTCATCCATCACTTTGTTTAACATCTCTTCTTAAAGGCTCCTGCACACTGGCATCGATTCATTCTCCTGATGACATATTTTCTGTCAATTCTGAGACTAGTTTTTCAAGTGGATATCTAATTTTTGTCATGTCAAAACATATCAAGACTCTCCAAGGAAAAATAAACTGACTTCATTTATTTATATATTTTTATGACATTGTGCAAGGAAAGACTTCCAGAATGAGACTATGTTTCCATGTTTTCTACTTAGGGTGTAATCTATCCACTGCACACTGTTACCAGGGGTGCTGTGTGGTGTATAGTTTGAAGTATAATTGATGTTTTGTACAAAACAATGTGTATGGTGATTTTTGACCTGTTGACACATAGACCAACTTTTATCCTTAAATTAGGTTTCTGAAATAAATTAGTTGTATTTTAATATATAATTCATCAATCATGAGCAATAGCTCTTCAGAAGGGAAGCCATTCTGCCATCTGAAATACCTTTCTTCATTGATAATTTTTTCTTATTTTTTTAAAAAAATACTATCATGTATCAGCAATATATAGAAGAGTTTTTTTCAAGCTTAATGTTTTGTTATAACTTAATATTTGTAGATGAAATTTATTATAAATTAATCCTCTCCCATTTAATTATGATATATTAGAAGGGATGTATATGTATTCCTTTAAGAATTCCTATGTTTTAAATATAACTTTCGTATTCAATGTTTATTAATACTCTAATTCTTGTCTATGTCTTCATGTTATAAAAGTGTCTAGAACTCTCATGCCCATATTGCTGTTTTAATATTTCATGTGTGAAAATCATGACTAATTAGCTCTCTTGAATTACTGCTAATCATGAATCCTTAGGAAGGGTCTACTTAAACATGGCAAAAGTGTATTTACATTCACAGGTGACCTTAAAGGGGGCATTTCTCAGACTTCCTATAGAATGGTCTTCTACCACGCTGTGATGCTTTCCCCTAAACTTAATAAAATGAACAAAACTTTCTGCAAAAATCCCCATCGTGATGGTTTTTAGAATCCCCACCATAATTAAAATATATTTCTGCTTCCTAACCTCTCATTGTTACAGTAAATGAATGATCCTACAGTAATAATATCTGATTAATGGATATTCCTCACACATAGTTGGATCACATCAAAAACTTTACCCTACAGAGGAGAAAAGTATCCATTGGGTCTAGGCACTATAGCCCCACATTTGATTAGCTATGGTTTTCTGTAATGATCTGCATATGTCACAGAGAAACTTCCTCAATAGGGAGTGAGGACCACACTTAACTTTGTATATCAGAAAACATAGGTAGAATGTAGTTAGAGATTATGCTGGTTTAGTAAAGTACTGGTTATAGGTTCTCCTCCAAGATTCATGATGTCACTAACTCTGGACAGCAGACTTGGACTCCAGAACCAGCCATGATTTCCCTCATATTAAGCAGTTTTTAAATCGAATCCAAATAGAGAGCTTTTAGTTACTGCCAAGGTATGTGCACTATTACTGCACGCTTGCAGCTATCATGCCATGCTGGTCACTATTGTGGCTCACGGGCCACAATATATAGAGGTAAATATATAGAGGTAAAACTCTAGGTGGTTTCCCTCTTTTGGAAGCTTCAGTGGCCTTCTGATATCATGAAAGCTACTCTGCAGGAGGGAGGCATTCAGGTCAGTTGCACTGAGGGGCCTCTGGGTTCTGCATCTGAAGTGCATAGAGGCTTAAGCAGTAAGAACTTGACTTCCCGCACTGGGGGAGTCCCTTGGACATTTCTGACAAACAACTCAAAAGGTGGCTTC